GAGGACAAGGGTACGTTGAGGGACTTGTGCTGGGGATGGAACCCCTCCAACTCTCCAGTGAGTGGCACAGGAACCGTGAAGCCTGTGATGACTGCAAAGACCTGGGAGATTTTCCAGTGCTCTGACGTGGAGCTAGAGTTCTGGCCAGGGAGAATTAGACTTCTCAGCAGTCTCCACTCAGAGGTCAGAGCCACATCTTAACCGGGAGGAGGCTGTTGGCCAGCCATGCCTGTGCCTCAATGCCATGGGCTTCAAGCAGTTGACAAAACCTGCTGTCAGAAGCCACCAATGCTTCAAGAGTAGGTGAACTTTATAGATTCTCTGAATATCAAATAATATATACAGATATACATCAAGACATGAGTCTAATGTAAAGCATCTTAATCTATAGATGCAGCTGCTTTGAAAAGTTAGTCTTCTTTTAACTTTCCAAATCACTAATAAAACTGTTAATCTGTAAAAACTGAAGCCAGAATAGAGTGAAAATAATTTCTAAACATAGTGATGTTGGGGAATGCTGCAAAATGTTACCCCTGCAACTGGCACTTGCCATGGAACCCTGCTGCAGCAACCCCACATCTGGACAAAACAGAGAAATGAAGACAGCTTACATGGAGATCATCTCAGATCAATGTAGGCCATAATTTACGTGACTGGAAGAGCATATAAAAAAGTATAACTGTACATTGCCTTTAAATTAAAACCTCAAACTCTTTACTCAGAAAATGGCGTTAAAGTTTGTTCACTGAACTTGTAGGCAGGGATTCATCAGAGAAAATAATCAGTGGAACAAGAATCAGTGTGATCCATCATTGACTCAGGAGAGATAAGGGCAAGAAGGTGCAGATCCATGATACAAAGAGATGGTACGGGTAGGGAGGGGCTTGGCTTTCGCTGTTGGACCATGTCTTCCTGTGCCTAGATCTGCCCAGATGTGCTTGGAAAGGGGCCAAGTCCCCAGTGAAATCACCAGTTCATCTGCCTTCAAAACACACCAGGAAGCCTAACACAACCATCATCGTTTGCAGGTGGAGTGGATGCCAACATGGCTGCTGGGGGTGCTGCACAGGCTAAGGCTAACGGAGCTCCTGAACTCCCCACTTCCGTCTCTCCGCCAGCCTGCCCATGGCCTGTCACTGGATAGCCTCAACGTAGTTGGCTGGATATAGGCCAACCTGACCGCTGTCCAAGCGTCCCTTGCACCAACCCTGTTCATCCTCGTCCTCTATCTTGGTCAGTTCATCTCCTGCAAAACAAAAAGAGGATAGCCATAGTGACAGGGCAGGCAACACTGATCACAGAAAGTCACCTGTGCATCCAAATTCTATGTGAATGTGAAACATGCTTCTCAAAGGATCCTTAGAGGGTCTCCAGGGCAGAGGAATAGGCAGCCTCCTGAAGACGGGGCAAGACCCTGGATATTTCACTACTAAAATATATGTAACACTTCTATCCCAGATACCACTGTGATCCGAAGATGGCAGCTCTCAAAGTCACCCTGTAGCAAGTAGCAGTCCAGGTTGTAATAACACCAGGCTTAACCTTGTGCCTGTCCTGTGTGTCCCAGGCTGCCTTGCTTAGCAACATGCCCCCATGTTTTCATTCTGTGTAATGGCTCAAGGTGTCATTGGGGCTCTTACCTGCAGCTCTTTGAGGTTTTGCTTCCTGAGCTACGGCTAGCCTGGCAGACCCCTGAGCAAACAGGGTCTTCTCCCTAGACACTTCCATCTGCTGATGAAGAGACCACTGAGGCCTGAGTGCTAACACAAGGTTCCCAGGATGCAGAGCGCATGAGTGTGCTGTGCTATCATGACACAGGAGCTTACTCTCTGGGGGCAGTAAGTAAAAACAGCCTTGGCTCACAGTGAGGACATAGGCAGGGGCTAAAAAGACTGCACAAAGTCTGCAGTACTGAAGAGGGATAAACAAAAGGACTCGTAGGAGTAGGAGATACCCAAGCTACACAGTCAAGAGGACAAAGTTCTGAACCAGTGACGGCATTCTGACTAGCCCCCAAATGCTTTGAAGGACAAACTTAAGTCACTATTGTCCTTTATTATTATAATCTTGCTTCTAGTGACAGGCTAAATTGTAAGCATGGCTTCTTGCAAGAAGCTTCTGCCTAGGAGACCAGAGACAAGCTAACCCTGAGGTACCCAAGAAAGACTGCAGCTGTAGTTTGGTGGCTTCGATAGTTAAACCTTTGTCATGGTAAAGAGACAAAACATAAACATCAGAACACAGAGATCTTAATATAATTAACAGCACACAGATACCTGTAAAATCAGAGGTAGTAACTTCAGTTGGTGACTAACAGCCAGCAGACAGTGAAGGCCAATGGCTAACAAAGCACAAGTCAGAGAGAGATGGCCTTCACCTGGCCCCAACATGACCAACACACTATCATCTCCCTGGTTGGAACAAGGGGACATGCAAAGATCAAGTAGGGGAAAGGTACTATAGTTAAGAACCACACATGAAATTAGCAGGAACTTCACAAGACTTCAAGAACAAAAGACAAGCAAGTCCCCAGCAGGCTGGATGCCTCCGTTCCTGGGTGGGTATTTGGGAAGGTCACCTACCAGCCTTGAAGCTCAGCTCATCGTGTTCCTGCCCCTCATAGTCATAGAGGGCCCGAACTCGCACTTCCGATCCTGAGGTAGTGTCCTCGTCAAATGGGTTAGAGTCCCCATTGGCATCCGTGGTGAAGGGGTTGTTAGACTCGTCATCAGACCAGTCAGCAGGGTAATTCTGAGTCTTCTCGTAGCTGCTGACACTGCAACAGAGGATGACATGAGGCTCTTAGCACGGGACTGACAGAGGATGTAAGGTCCCCACCCAGAGTTCCTGCCCTACAGGCAGGTGCAGCCAGGCCCCTCTGCCATCCACACTCATCCTGAGCCCTCAAGAGAAGCTGGGGGGCTACCAATACGCCAGAGCAGTGCCTGCAGGTAGACCTCGACCCACTTCAGCAGGTCCCCCAGCTTAGACTGCCTGTCTGTCTTCCTGTAGTGGTGCTGCTCAGGCCTTAAAGGGTTAACAAAGAACAGAGGAAAAGCAACCAGAGTGTTAGCTGTGCCCTCCCAGAGAGGAGGAGAGGCCTGACACTGTCCAAGCAGGCCTGGAATGCAGAGGGCAGGCACCCAGTCCTGCAGGATTCATGCATTGCTGAAATGCTGAGGGGTGAGACCCCAAGAGACCCCTGGATAGAGAGAAAGGAGACACACAGAGAGCGAGGAGGAAGCCAGAGGGAAGTGTGTGTTCACCAACTTTTTGGTCTTAATGTCTTCCTTCTCACTGACGGTGCTGCCCGTGTCGTCCTCGTCCTCGAAGGGGTTGTAGCTGGACTGTAACTGCGTGGACTGGGCGGGGTTGCTCGGGACACTAAGGTTGCTATGGGGGAGAAAGAGAGCTTTCAGGGATCACAGCTGGGGGCCCACTGAGGGCCCTGGTGACTCCAGCTGCAGAAGACAGTGACAGCATCTCTAGAGTTACAGCAGCTCCTCCCTCATCTGATAGAAGGTTGTTGCTTGACTAAAAGATAATTATAGTAGGACATGGGGCGATACTTCAATGTGTCACTATACCTCAATCACCTGTAAGTTAATTGTCCACCACAGGTACACAAGCACTTCCTGGCTCAGGGTGTCTCCACCCCCTCATTCCCACATAAGGCTTAGTCAGTGGGAAAAATTGATGGTGGAGCTCTTCTAGGAAGCAGCAGGCCCTGAAGGACTGCATCCATGGAGTAGGGGCCTCCCCAGCTCTCCAGTGCCCCTTCTAATTAATAAACAGGCCAATGGTCAGCTTCCAGGTGTTGGAGAGTCCACAGTCAGCACTAAAGCTTGCTGCACAGAGGGCCTCTAAGGGTGCTCTGGAGTCAAACCATCCTTGGCCAACTGTCTCCCAGTTTAGCATTATCCAGCAAGACATTGGGCACTAGGGAGTAGGATGAAGTGGTTGCAGGGTGTAGCACTCTATAGGGAGCCACCACAAGAAAAATGTATAGAAAGTCACCCTGGGCTGATGTACTGTGATTCCTTGGCTACAATTACCATCCACACCAGTGGCCAGGGCTTTGGGCAGCATAAAATTGAGCAGCTACCACCCCAGAGCCATCAGAGGAAGGTGGGAAACCCCTCAAATGCCACGAGTGAACCTGTCTGGCTGTCCATGTACAGGCAGTGTGTTGGACACTACCAGACCCTCTGCCCATCTGGGCTCCCTGCACTAATGGACTTTTCTGAGGGAATTTGTGCTGGGCACTGAACTGGTGCATTCTTTCTGGGCAGCTACTAGTCCATAACATCTCCTCAGGGAGATCCCAATTCCTTCCACCTACTACTAGCACTGAGGACACTGGGGAGGATGGCTTGGTTCTGAGGTTGGGCCCTCAAGACCTCCGAGCATGAACCAGCCATGTGTGACTAGGGAGCCTGGGAGGGTAGGGGCTTAGTATCTCATTTATACCCCAAGCCTATTAACTAGAACCTGAGCTAAGGTGAAAATTACCTAAGCATGGCCCAGAGGCCTCTAGCCAAGTCCGATAGCACATACTTTCCAGAAGGTTCTAAGGATCACAGTTGGTACTCCTTCTATCCACAAGTCTTTTTATACAAAGAAGTCAGAGATTTCTGTTGTGAAGATAAGGGAGTGTTCTGTTCAGGGGCTGGGACTGAACCCAGGGCTTTTACTTGCCTGACAAATGATCTGCTGCTGAGTTACACCCCAAACCTATTTAGAAATAACTACCATTAAGTACGGGAGACTTGTGAGCATCCTCCACTGTTCTATATCTATTGGCACCTCCACAGAGATGTCCCATCAGGACGATGCCATTGGTATCATGTCTCTATCTTCTACTTCCACCCTGGGATGTTCCATGGAGATGAACACAAGCAGCTAACACTGGCACCTTCCTTATCAGGACAGGCACAGTGTGCAAAAGGCATTCTCTGGATCTTTCAGGAACACCAGCAGCAAGCAGAAAGAGAATTGAGAGATGCTTCACCCAGAGCTCACAGAGTTCCAAGAACATTTGTTCTTGGGGTCTCTGTCCCATGTGGAATTATCCAAGTGCCCAAGCTGGTGGCATCCCAGAACCAGTAGATCCTCACTCCTGACCAGATGGTCAGTTCTGGACTGCAGCTGGGCCTGGAGCTCACCTGCCAGTCTTGTTCTGCCCAGAATGGTCCCCTGTCTGGTTGATTCCTGTTAGGGTGACACCATCAGCAGCCTTCTTCTTCTCTCTCCGGCTGAGAGTTCGATTCAGATCTGCAGACCACTCCTGGGCAAGTGGGCCATGGGAAAGAAATGGGAAGTTCATTTCTGGGAACCCACAGTGGTCTAAAACATCTGTTCAGCCAGCAGCTGCCCTCCCTGTGCTATTAGTAACATTCAGCCTTTTGGCCCCTGCTCTTCTGTTTTCCAGAAAACCTCAAGCTGCCTATTGGGCTTAAAGGATATGAAGGTTAGCACCCATTTAGCCACAAGGCCCCGACATGAAATAGCAGACTCTCTAGGACATGATGGTGACAACTGAACTAGGACTGAGGGCTGGGTAAGTAGTTCAGTACTAGAGTGCCTGCCTACCACACGTAAGGCCATTGATTCTATCCCCAGCAACACACACACCACACACCTATACCCACCTCCACCCCCACAGAAACACTGAACCATGGTTCATGATACTTGAGAGCCTTCTAATCCCATTCCCTGCTCACCTCAGCTCTTAGGCTCTATCCCCCCATGCCATGGGTTCTGGGGTTCTTGAGCCTCTCAGGTAGACATAAGCCAGCCCTGTAGGGAGCCTGGCTGAGGCACACAGATTAGTCCTTGAGCACTAAGGATCCTTTCCATTTATGCTCTAAACTCTTAAGTCACAGGGGTGACAGCTCTCTGACAGGTTCTGAGCATGCCTGACACATAGGAAACTGCACCAGAACTACACATAAAATCAGAGGCCAGCTGGCTATGGCATGGTAAAGGAGATTGACAGGCAGAATGCTCAGGTCTCCAAAGGGACCTTTAATCACTTTTAATTAGTAACACGCTGGCAGCTAACAGAGAAGAACAGACTTTATGCCCCCCACAGGTTTTCGGCTTTCCTAACAAGAAGCTTTCACCAACTGTTGAAACATTTAAGTGGAAAGAGGGCTAGGTTTTGATTTTCCAGAAAAGTCCCATGTGTTTATGCACTTAATGATTTCTCCTTATCTCCCATCACCATTTACCAAACGAGTGAAATTAGAACCCGGTGAGATGCCTAATCAGGTTAAAAGTGGGGGAAAAAAGCATTTGCCTTGAAAGAGTGACAAACCAACTTCAACTCTCTCTCTCTCTCTCTCTCTCTCTCTCTCTCTCTCTCTCTCACACAAACACACATACACACAAACACACATACAACTTTAAATTTAAAAATTTAAATCAAATTTGCCTTAGTGCACAGCATTGTTCCATCTTACAAAACATCAAGGCCACAGGGTGTTTTTGTTACATTAAGCCTAGCTTTTGATTTGTCAGATGGGGAAATAAAGAGTGGTCAAGAGAAACTGAGGTCCATACAGAGTGGATCACAGCCTTGGGCCACGAACCTCAACCCAAGTCACCTTGTCTATTAATGACTGTCCTGATGGAAATAAGTGGGCTGAGAACTTAGTTGGAACCTCAAGCTCCCCATGTGACCTCTGAACATAACAAGGCAGCTCTTGGGGACTACTGGAAGAAAGGACTAATGTCCTGGGGCCTCTACAGACAAGCGACTAAGCGGGCTTACTACATGCAGTAGGGAGCATGGCAATCCATGAGTTAATCATAAAACAGAAACTTACTTCATCCTTGTGGCATGAAAAATGAAAACAACTTCATTAGAGAAAGTCAGAGACAAGCTGGCAACAACTATCAACGTGAACACAAGGAACATAGGAGGACTGGTCCCTAGCCAGGGACCCACAGAGAGGAGCCCACAGACTCTGGCCAGGTTACTTCTTCCAGAAGGACAATCAACCCAATCTCATCATTGTTGCCCTCTTTGGAGTAGCAGCCACCCTGAGGGGAGCAGGAGAGTATCACATACATGGTGCCTTGTGCCACTCTACAGCAACGAGCAGACTGGAAGCCGAGCATAAACTGTGCCTAGGATACCACTTAGCATACTTTTTCCCACTATGCTGTGCCAGTGGAAGAAGCACTGTTTGCTCTATGGCCACTTAAACTAGAAAGTGGACCCTAATGTCTCCTAGGGCCCTGCCTGCTCTGCAGCCTCCTGGAGAAATCATGAATATCCAAAAAATGGAATTGTGGGGGCGAGCACTAATACAGTTCAAAAAGGGCTGAGAAATTTGTGGGGAGCCCAGGTCTATGTGATAACCCAGTATAGATCAGGTTATGCCCTTCAATAACCCCAGGTTGCTATTCATACTTGAACATAGAAAAACTAAGCTACACAAGGATAGCTGCTTGCTAAGGCGTAAGGACAGACGCAGTCCAGGTTCTGGCTACTATCAGGCCATAGAAGCCATAGCCATGGCTAGAGACATCTGTCTGGCTTGGAGGACTTTTATTAGCAGTTGCAAGGTGGGGGCCGATACCATACCAAATGAATGAGGAGAGAATGCCTTCCTTCAGGGAACATGGCTGGTAGGGCTTCTGGCCACTACCTCCTACACTGCTGTTAGGGAGCTGGGTGGGGCCTGGTGACCAAACCCTAGCCTCAAGATCCATGGGCTTTCATATTTTATAATATAAAGATACTGGCGCCTAAGGCCCAAAAATGGGAGAACAGGAAATTAAATTTGAGACAAGATTCATTGGATTTACAGCCCAAAGCAGGAAAAATCCCCCAAGAAAAGGATAAGTAGTTCACTACTACTGGCTGCACCTGTGGCCTAAAATGAGGCCTGGGGAAAGACTGGGCACTTCTGGATATCCTGGTCGGTGGGATAAACACAATTTTTTTTACACTACCCCAGTCAGGACTATTGCATATACAAAGCAGGGAGTTAGAGCAACATTCATAGCCCAACTAAAGGGGTAAGGTCTCTTCCCAGGTGAGCAGAGTTAACTCCTTACCTCAAACTGTGGCCAGTTCATGGCCATGCCTGGCCCATGGTTGGCTCTGAACCACCTCAGGTCCTCTACTGCATCAGCTGCTTTGATGTTCTGCTCCAGCTCTCGGTAAATGGTTTTGTAGCTAAATCAGAGACAGAAGGACAGCTCTAAAAAAGGCAGGGCCCAGCCACCATTCCTCACAGCCACAACAGGCCCTGTAGCCTGCAGGAATCTGTCTCCCAGACATAGATCAGGAACACCATTCCTGGCCATCACATGTATAGACACACACACCACCCTCTAGAACCTGGGACCCACCAACAAATAAGCTTCAACATAACCAGGCGGTACACTGAGACTTGCCCTGCATCAGATCCTGGGTGTGCTCTGTGGCGCAACTATGCAGTCCCATTGGGTCAGGTCATGTTGAGGAAGAAGCCCCCTCCTCCATCTCTCAGGAGAGCTGGAGGTTTTCCTCCCCAAGTGAAAGGTAGTATGGGAGGAGGGCAGAACTATGAGAGCCAGTCTGGCCTCCTGCAGCCAAGAACACGGGTCTTGGCTGGACCCGAGAGACCACTTACTATCTACACAGGCGGTTCTTTACTTTTTCTAAGCCTCAGTTTCTGTCAATGTGGAGTGGGCATAAGACATAGTCTATCTAAGGATTGGATTGTGTTCTCCAAATACAATAGCTGAAGCCCTAACCTCAGGAGGTGACCTTTGCTGAAAACAGGGTCTATAAAGTGGACCCAATGTAGCAGGACTGCTGTCCTTTTATAAAGGAGACGTCTACATTAGATAGCCAAGGAAAGATGGTCAGAGGACTGGACAGAAGTGGTCAGATGTCCTGAAAGCTGAGGCCTGTGGCAGACCCCACAAGCTAGAAGAGGCAGGAAGGACCTGCCTGGAGCCTTTAGGAAGAGTGTGGCCACACCTTGGTTTATGATTTCTGTCTTCTAGAACTGAGTGATGAGCTTTCCTTGTTGTCTGCCATGCCACCCAGATTCTGTTACAGATGCCCTAGGAAAGACCACACCATGTGCCACCCCCTCTTACTCCCACCCACCACCACCACCACCACTTCCCCCATGGCTTGGAACATAGGGGCAGACTGCACTGATTCAGGCCTTTGCCACAGCCAAGTACAAACATAGTGGAAGGTACCTCATACACAGAAGAGCAGGACACAGTCCCGGCCCTGGTCCTTTTCCTGCCCACTAAAAGCTGTTTAGCAGCTCAGTTTCCTAACCAGCAAGATGGGGACAATTCTGCCTACTTTCCAGGCTGTCACAGAGATGAAATGACAGCAGAGCAGCTGTGCAATGACTACTTTCCATCTTCTTCGAAGAGACAAAAGGGATGTCATTTTCTACTGACAACAAGCTTTGACCTGACATTCCTTTCTCAAAGAAAGAGAAATGTGTCACAAGTCAAACTGTAGTGTTTTGCCATTCTGGCCTCCCCAGGACCTACAGTCATCAAGATGCCAATGGTGGAGCTGGCAACAGGGATGAGAAGATCTTTACAAGGGACTGTCCTTGGGGGCAGAAGACATGAGGCCTGGCCAATGCTGCATCAGCCCAGGCGGATTTCCAGAATACTGGGTTTGGCTGGTCCTGGCTGTGGCACCACAACAGACAGCTTCCCTCCTTGTCCAGACCCATTTGGAGCTGGCAGCATCAAGCCCACCATGCCTGCCCTGCTGAAGCCTTCCATGGCTGTGCTGTATGCTGGCTCTGCAAACAGGCCCTCTGGGTCACTGCCCTCTGGGTCCCCCAAGGCTGCCATGCAACACCTGAGTCTATTCAATACCAGCCTCCCTGTAAGTCACAACAATGGGTTTTTTGCCTCAGAGAAACTTACCTAGCCACATTGGACAGGTCCAGGTGCTTCTGAACCTCCAGCAGAACCTCCCGGAAGAAGCGCAAGCGCTTCTCTTCAAACTGCTGGCACTGCTCAAACACCTGCTCCATGTTCTCCATGTACTGGGGTGTGGTCTGATCAAGCTCCTTCAGGGCCTTCTCATACTTGTCCTTGGTCTGTGTTGAAATTGGCACAGGCAGAGGTTTCTTGTCCATCCCACCTCTGTTTGCCCCATGTGCCCCACTGCTGCTCAGGCCTCCCTAGATTCCAAATGTGGGAGCAGGAGTTCCCGAGCCTAGCATTCCCCAAGTGCAGTCCAGTCCCTGTACCCAGGCCACTGGAATAACTTCTCTGTCATCTCACACCAGGCATCACATCTCCTCCATCTACCCTAAGACTCAGGCATAGAAACCTCTTTCTGTACATTCTAAGGAGATTCCTCTTCTGGAAGCTTTTCCTGACCATGTTTGGGGTCCCATTACTGTTTTTGCCCCTCTCTTGGCATATGGCTCCTTGTATTTTTCTGACCTCAGAAATGTCGAGTTGGGTCCTCTATGAGGAAAGGAAAGGTCACTTAGGCAAGAACATAGTTCCACAGACGCTCTAATTACACCCCATCATCTTTAGCATGTCCTATGCTCCAACCTGGAAGCACTATGTAGGAGTCTTGGATCACAGACCCTCAGCACCGAGGGTCAGGAGCATTCAAATCTCAAAGCCTCTGGAAGCCTTTGGAGAACCACAGATGTTCCTCTCACTAAAAACCCCCTTCTTCCATCTTGATTATACTGAGGCTATGTCCTGTCCCCAGCATCAAGCAGGGGCCAAGCGAGGTCATCACTGTTCAGAAAATTCCCTAACTACAAAGACCCCACTAGCCCCTCAGAGATGCTTTGCCCCTGATGTGAATCTCTTCTCTGATGAACACTGCAGGACTCACTTCCTGACTAGTCAGAAGATGGTCTGTGAGCAGCAGCTGGTGCTAGCTTTTACTCCCTCCAGCATTCTAGGGCTACATAGATCACTCAGGCTCTGAGATCAGTGGCAGACCACACAGGGAGGGCAAGTTCCCAAAGGGAAGCCACTACAAGTGTCTGTTTCCTGGACAGACACTTCAGGTTAGACTTCATACTCTAGGTGTGCTCAGAGAAATCATCATACTGTACAGAAGCAATACTGTCTCTGTGTGTGTGTGGGTGGGGGAATAAGGTTTCTCCCCTCCTTCCTTTACACAGACAGACACACACATTGATGTGCTTTATCTTTCTTCTAAGCATCTTCCTGGACAGCAGATTCCCTGTGATCCTAACAAAGTATTCCCCAGGCCTTATGTTTCGTGAGCTCCAGTACCTATTCCATAGAGATGCAGATCCTTCACCAAAGCTCCCCCAGTTCCTGACCCCAGGTGGGCTGGGGGCTACTTGAGTACAGGCCCTTATGGAGATGGCATTTCCCTTGCTATATGTGGAGGTGACGACAGTAGTAGTGCAGAGTGCAGGCTCTGGAGTCAGAATACTTGCTCTCACATTTACAGAACAGTGCACTGTTTGTCCTCACTGACCTTGGTTCTTTATACACAGAGCAGGGACGCCACCACACAATCCAAATGGATGCCATGCCTCATATCTCAAGTCTGGCAAGGGTGTCAAGTAGGTGCCATCTGCCAGCCTCAAGTTCTGTTGTGACAACAGCCTGCTGTGACCCCCGCCATCTGCTCCTGTAGACTTAGGTAGGCTAGATCACAGTGTGTGTGTGTGGGTGGCCCATAATGTCTAGAGCAGTGGCAAATGGGAGTTGCTGTGGGATAACCCTTCTGTAAGCTATGAATATATGTTGCTCTCATTGGTTGGTAATAAACGATGCTTTGACCTATAGCGAGGCAGAATATAGCTAGGCGGGGAAGCCAAACTGAATACAGGGAGAAGGAAGGGCAGAGTAGGGAGAGACAAAAGCCAGTCAACCAAGAAACAAGATGCTAGCAGACAGGTAAAAGCCTGAACTGTAGGCCAACCACTCTGTAATTAATATTAAGCCTCTGAGTGATTATTTAGAAGCAGGTGCAGGATAGGATGAGCAGAGAAACCTCTGTTTACAGGGAGTTGAAAAGCCCAGCCCCCGGGAGCTTCTAAATTACAAGCTACCAGCTAGTATTTAATTCCTGTGACTCTGGGATCTTCCAAGTAGAAGCCCTCTCTGTACTAGTGGGATGCATCAGATCACAAAGTGGTCTGACAGTCATGTCCATGTGATCTTCTCACTGACCCAATGAGGTAGATAGCCTCACAGCAGACAAAGAAGGGCTCCCAAGGACATGGCAGTGGATATTAAGATATGTTCTCTCTTATTGGCCAAAAGCCACTGTTCTGTCACCCCCAGTTCCTGTAACCTGCTATTGGTGTGGTCAAGGGCAATTGCCTCTCTCCAATGCCTTACTTCCCTATGGGCTCCCAGACACACCCTCCCAACCTGCATCTAATCCTTGGATCTCCATCTGCAGCTTCCTTCCACATCTCTAACCCAGTCTGACCAGCCCTCCTCCATACACTTCTGCACTTCCCCGGTCTAGGTCTTCCAAGTATATCCTAAGTCCCTAGATCTGCCTGCCTATGAAGAGCCCTGGTCCTAATCCTCCAGCCCTGCTTACGTGCCTTCCTCATTTCTGCACTCTGCACAAGCTGCTCTTCCCTGCTCATCCTAGCTGTCCTCAAATATATCTCCTGGGAAGCCAAATGAACATGTTCCCCTCAGCACAAGGAACACACTCTCCTGCCTGCCTGGAACTTGGTTCTGCCCTTAGCTGAAGCAGGTGAAATGCCCTTGCTAAGGTGGGGCTCAAGTGCTTATCTGTGAGGCCCAGAGAGTGAGGATGCTAGATTGGCATTTATCTTCATCCAGTCACCTAATCAAATAGTTCTAAAAGGCTCACTGTGTGCTACACAGGTGAACAACATTCAACACAGCAAAGCAAGTGTGGGGTTTACCTTCAGGACATCCTGCTTGCATTTTTCTATCTTGTCTTGCAGTTTCTTCAGCTGTTCAGGGTTGAGCGATGGATCCGCTTTGCTGTTGGCTTCTCGAGAGATGGCCAGTTTCTCCTCTTTGCATGCTGTGTGGTGGGCTTTCTTTGCTGCTTCTACCTACAGGGAGAGTAAGTTCTGAATGCAACATGGCTGCAAGTTCAGATCTTCAAAGACTGCACAGCCTGTGGAACTGCATGCGCTGTCAGATGAGAGGGAAGAGCGGGGACATTGTCTGCGCTTTGTCACTGTAACAACTGGCTGGAACAAAAGGCCTCACTTTGTAAATATTTATCCACACATGGCTCTAGGCACTGGGGACACAGGACAGAAGAACTGACACATGACTTAATTTGTAGATTTGAATTAGGTGGCCAAATGCAGGCATAATTAAACGTTGGAGTAAATTAGAAGGGACTAAGTGTTTTGGAGGAATCAAGCAGGGGAGAGACACTAGGAACACCAGAAGTGCAGGGACAGAATTCTATAACGAACAGTATGGAAAAGCCCCTGAGATTGCTTGGAGTAAAAGGAAGAGGTGTGAATATCCAAGGAAAGTGCACAGCAGGACAGTCAACAGAAGGACATTCCAAAGTCTGGCTGGTGGAGCATGCTTTTACTCTCCAGGAGGCAGAGGCAGGTAGAGTTGAGTTCCAGGGTCAACCGCTTTGCTGTTGGCTTCTCGAGAGATGGCCAGTTTCTCCTCTTTGCATGCTGTGTGGTGGGCTTTCTTTGCTGCTTCTACCTACAGGGAACATAGTCTACATAGTGAGTCCAGGCCAACCAGTTAGACCCTGTCAAAAGTGAGACCCCAGAGAAGGGAAAACAGATGGGGGGAAGGGGTGGGAGGGGGAAGCTCGTGTGTGCTGGAGAGAGAACATTCTCAAGAGAGAACCCTCACATGAATAATAATAATAATAATAATAATAATAATAATAATAATAATAATAGGCTTAAAGTGGGCAGGGCAGGAACAGGTCACAATTTTCAAGGACTTTTCTCTTGACAAAGGGTCATGATAAACACTGTCCATACTGGTCTCCAGGTTATGAGCTTGGAGCAGTGGTTCTCAACCTTCCTAATGCTGGGACCCTTTAATACAGTTCTTCATATTGTGGTGACCCCAACCATAAAATTATTTTCCCTGTTACTTCATAACTGTAACTTTGCTACTGTTATGAATCTTTTTTTGTTTGTTTGTTTGTTTGTTTTTTTGTTTTTTGTTTTTCGAGACAGGGTTTCTCTATGTAGTTTTGGAGCCTATCCTGGCACTCCCTCTGGAGACCAGGCTGGCCTCGAACTCAGAGATCTGTCTGCCTCTGCCTCCGAGTGCTGGGATTAAAGGCGTGCACCACCAATGACCGGCCTACTGTTATGAATCTTAATGTAAACATTTGTGTTTCCTGGTGGTTTTTTGAGACTGACGGTTTTATTCAACTTCTATGAAAGGGTCGTTTGACCACTCAAAGAGGCTGTGACCCCACAGGTTGAGAACTGGCTTAGATACTCCTTCCAGGTTCTAACAGCTATTTCTCTCTCTCCTCTCTGTCTCTCTCTCTCTCCCCAACCCCCCTTCTCCTGCCATTCCTCCCTCAGAGATATATGCATTTTTAAAAGTGAGTTACATATTTGAACCAAAGCCATAGATTTCATTCTAGGAGAAAGAGAAGAATGTAGTGGTCTTAGGAGAGCAAGCAAAGATGGAGGCGTGCTCTGGATGATTGTGAGGGAAGCAGCACAGCTGCTAAAAGGTAGAAGGGACAGCATTCCAGTGACATCTACCGGTGAGCCAAGGTCACACAGGACTCAGTGATTTTGACTGGCGCTGCTGAAAGAGTGGGGATCAATGTTGTGGGCCAATCTGGGAGAGAAATCCACATAAGGAAAAGGACAGTTCTGAATTAACCCTTTAAACTAATCCAAAGGTCTCCTGCACCCAACAGACAATTCTCCAGGCTGCAGAGAGAGAGAGATGTTACTGGACAAGAACTTGAGTTTAGAGTTCTGCCAGCAACATGAAGTTCTGGTCCTATCTGCAGTCTATGATGGGCTGGTATGGATTACATTTGAAGAAAGCACATAAAGTAGGGTCTTGGGCCCAGAGATAGTCTGTTCTCCATCAGCTTTATGCTCTCCTGTTGCTAAGGTGAGTTCCTGGAAGTGTAGGAAGGGAGCCCTGTCAGTGGAGAGGAAAAGCAGGGCCAGGGGAGGAAGAGAGGGAGGTACCTCTTTCAGCTTCTTGGCCCAGGGCTTCTGGGCCTTCCGGAAGCCATCCTCTGCTTCCTTGGTCTCCTTGAAGCCTCCCATCATCTGTTTGTGAAAGGCTTCCTTCTGCCAGTTCTTGATCTTCTCAAAGTCTTCATTCATCAGTGACGCCTTCACTTCCAGGTGCAGCTCACTCACCCTCTCTGCTTCAGACATGACAGCCATCCAGGCCTTCTCCACAGTCCCATACTGTGGTCCTGACACGGGAGGAGAAGCAAGTTAACTCAGCTTCTGCTAGCAGCAGGGTTTCCTGTCACCGCCCCGCCCCGCCCCCACAGCTGTCTGCCTGAGAACAGTCCAGCTGCAGACAACTCCTTTTCTAAAGTCTTTGAGCTCTTGTGTGTGTGCACATGCACCCGTGTTTACGTGGGTACATGTGAGTAACATATATATAATGTGAGAGCATGCACAGGTGCATACATATTTTACATGTAATTGTTTAAGTGAATGTTCATGTGATGTGTGTACACATTTTATGTGGAGGACTAGGCTCATGTTAATCTTCCTTAATCACCTCTCTTTGTTTTTTGAGATAGGGTCTCATGGAACCTGGAGTTCATGGATTCAACTAGACAGGTTGGCCAGCAATCATCCAGGTCCTCTAGTCTCTATTTCACAGAACGGGGGTTACAGGTGTGCAGTGCTGTGCTTGCTTTTTAAAAAGATATACTTTTATTTTAAACATATGTGAGTACCTACATATATGTATGTGTACTGTATGCATGCCTGGTGCTCATGAAGGCTAGGAGGGGTTATTGGCATCCCTGGAACTGGAGTTGTAGGTGTTTTGAGCTGCCACGTGGGTTCTGGTAACAAAACCAGATCCTCTGAAAGAGCACATGGTGCTCTTAACTACTAATACATCTACTGAGTCTTGCATCTGGCTTTTAGGTAAGAAGGAACTGGGAATCTGTGTGTATAGCAAGTGCTTGCCCACCTAAGCCAGCACTCCTGTTCCCTCTGAGGTCTTTGAAACAACCAGTCCTGCATTCTGTAGATCTCAATTTGCTTAAGGTGGCCAGAAAAGGGCCAACTTTCTGAAGTGAGCTGCCTACCTCACAACCAAGAACTCTCTTGCTCCCACGACAGCCCATGATTGTGAGTGGCCTCCCTCTAGATGGATCACCTTTTATTCATTCCCATGAACAGTGGGCCTAAAGGATAACAGTGTCAACTGAGACAGGACAGGGAACATTTTGTAGTCCCCAAACACCACACTGCTCTGGCATGACTCAGATCAGAGACTGCCAGTTGCTGTGAGCACTTCATGACTTGGCTGGGTTTCACCCGGTTCAATGATGTCTTGCTATTTTCTTGTCCTTTCTACCCAGACCCCTTATTCAAAGTGACAGTCCTGATCAAGAGTTTCCCTCCTGAGCCTTAGGGAATGAGAACAAAAAGGGAGTGAATTGACAGTGTCCCCACACTCTCCAGAGATTTCTGTGTAGGCCTGTGCAGTTTCTCTCTCCTCTCTTCCCTCTGGCAGCATAGACTTCCTTTCTGCTGAGGAAACAGTTCTCTATCCTACAGGCACCCTCAGGCCCTCTGCAGCTGTTATTCTTCTGTGAATGACAAGGGACGGCTGCAACAGGAGATCAGGGATCTTTGCAGCTAGCAGTTTGCTGTCTCCAAGGAAAGAGGACAGAAGTTCATGCAGACTGTTTACTGGGTGACAGGCACTGTGCTGTCCTCCCCCACAAAAAAAAAACCCACAGACCTAGGAACTGCAAAATGCATTCCTGGCCAACTTGTGAGCAATTCATCAGAAGATCCCTGGAAAGTGAGTGGTTAGTACCCATGCCCAGGGCACCTTACCCTTCTCTACAAGCTGCTTCCAGCGTCGGGCCCACTCAGTGAGCTGCTGTGCATATGCCTTCTCAATGCGTGCTCGCTCATGCAAACAGTTCATGAGGTCACCACACAGGCGGTGGCCATCATCGATCCGCTTCACAGTCCGTTTGTAGTTTCCAACCTGTGAGACAGAGCTTAGGGTTAGGGTAAGGCACATATTCGCTAGACCCTCCAGAATGGTTAGCTTATCTGTTGCTGCTATATAAGCCAGTAGGAGCCCCTCATGTCACCCTAAGGGTCATCCCAACTCTGCAGTGATGGCTACCCCATGTTGCCAGACAAGCACCCCCTCTCCCAGTTTATTACCAACAGGAATAAATAAATCATCAAACGAGCTTCTGAGTATGTAACTCCCGGTCAGGTCCTATGGCAAAAAACAACTGGTAGGTCAGGGAAGGAGGAAGATGAGCAAGGTGCAGGGCTGAGGGAGGCTGGCAGGTCTTCAGGCAGATGGAGGAGCAGGTAACATGTAACTAAATGCTCACATGTTGAATTACTCACTTCCCAATGACAGTAGTATATATTTTTTTCCACCTACTGAGTACCTACTATGCGCCAGGCACCTTGACAGGTGTTTCACACATTGCCTAATCCCTAAGTGGCAGCAACTGTCCCCTACTTCACAGATGAGGAAACTGAGGCTTCGAGTAGCTGAGAGCTGGCTAAGACTGCAGTCATACTGGCTGGGCTGAAGCTCAAGGCAGTTTTCAAAAATACTTTTAGGATAGACTGCAGGACAAAGCTCAGATTCTAATCTTCTTTGTCAAGGGCAAGTTTTGGCTACACCTTTTCACACACAGAGAGAGAAAACAGACTATTTAAATTAGAACTAGCTATGAAAATATTTTCGCCCTCTGTGTGTGTAGTATATGCACACACATGCACTTGTAGGTGGAGGCCAGAAGTCAATGTCAATAATGTTATTTTATTTTTTTGAGACAAGGTTTTGATGAACTTGGTGTTCATTCATGGATCTGGCTATATTAGCTGGCTACTAAACCCAGAGATCCTCCTATCTCCACCTCCCAGCACAGAGTTCCAGGCATGTGCCATCACACTCAGCTTCTGTAGATAGAGATGCTGCAGAACTGAACTTAGGTCACCATGCTTGCCCCACCTGTACTTTACCAACTCAGCTACCTCCTCGACCTGTTCCATCCTTCAAGCTATGGCCTTGAAAGGGAACCAGTGCTAACGAGAGGGTCCATGGAGAACAGCACAGAAAAAGGATCAAGTATGTTCTCATTTGTTTCTTACCAATGTCTTCAAAACTCTTAACTACTCTCTTAGGTTTTCTAGCAGTCTCTATCCACTGACTCTACAGTACAATGCTCAGCCAGAAAGCCTCTGAGCAAGGCTCAGGCCTACACTACACAACGGGCAGCCCTCTCAGCAGTACTGTGGTACTCCCACAGTCTCTCTTCTCCAGTGCTTAGAGGAGGAAGAGTGCTGGAGATGACCTGCAAGAGGGAGAAAGACAACACCTTGCAAAAGGACAAGCATGCAGGTACTGCATGCAGATGCCAGAGGAGTGAGGGATGGTGGCTACAATACCCAGAGGGAAAGGCTGTCCCTAGTGCTAGAGCTCTTGACAGTCTGAGGTAATGACCTCCTCCTGGCAGTACCCAGAATCCTGCTGACAGTCAAGACTCCTGAAGTCAGAGGCCCAGCATGACTATGGCCACTTACTAAAGGGTGGGACTCTTGAACTCACTGTTAATTATATCTCCTGCACAGAGGCCCTGCAGCCCAGGCAAAGCCTGTCTTGTCTCCTCAGCAAGGCCGGAAGTTCAGCAGCTCACTGATATATACATGGCTGAACCTGAGCTGTCACTTAAAAACCCAGCTTTTCTCTTTCCTTACTACAAAAAGGAAAACAAAAACAGTCTCCACAACCCACCCTGCAACACTGACACACACTTGCTCCTCTTTGTGAGGAGCACAAATGGGGCTTTGTGGTCACTCAGAAATAGGAGGAGGAGGAAGAAGAAGAAATAACAACAACAACAACAAAGCCCAACTCAGCACCACTGGGCTGGTGGCAAGAGGAACAGAGAGTCAACCTGATTGATCCTCATGGAACCACCACACACAGAGACAGTTTCATCTGTCACAGCAGTGCTTACTGGAGATGACCATCCAGATGCGTATTTTAGTATCTGGAAACCTGCTCATCTCTTCAATATTCAAGGCCCAGAAGAAAGGATTTCAGGAAGGGAAAGAACATCTGCTAATGAGCCACAAACTGCATAGGCCGATGGCACACAGCAGTTGTGACCACAATCAAACAAGAACTCCTGCCACCTGAAGGGCAGCCTCCCAGCTCCGCAGGCAGACATGTCAGGACAGGTGGCCACCTAGCCAGACATAGAGCAAAGGGAAGGAGACAACATGTAACATGTTCTACCTCAGGTAAATTACCCAAAATGTAGCCAAAGACTCTGGGAGAACCTGTGACCCTAGTGTGACTAGAACCAGGCAAAACTACTGTCAAGCTCATGTTCACACCTGAGTTTCCTTGATCCTGAGGTTCTGAGGAAATTCCTACCCTGCCCTCCTAGGAAGGTCTTCAGTGTCACAAGGAACCCAAACAGACAACACTTCCTAAGACCTCAGAGGTTCAGCTGTCATGAGGCTGACCCATCGACCCCTAAATGAGAGGAGAGAAAGCTCTCTTGCAGGCAGTGTTCCTGGATGCATGTCCCAGACTACCCTGTTCTCTTCTGGCTTGGCAATGGCCACCCTTGTCTCTTCCACAGCCAAGCTCACTTCCTGGGTAGATACAGGCAACAAAAAAGCTTCACAATGCACAAAGCACCTACAGCCTACAACATGTAGACTAGTATCTGTCCATTCTGCTTTCTCTAGGCCATCCACATACAAGGCTTTCAATGAAAACCACAGAGCAACTAGAAGAGCATGTAGGCCAGTACACCTTTGCAAGTTAAGGTAGCACTCTTTAAGCAGCATTTCACAGCTTAAAGCTACATGAATGCACACCCTCTTCCCACAAAAACTAAAGATTTCTGTTCATAACAGCTATTCTGAACAACTGCAGACTATAAACACTATCTCCTAACTGTTATGTCCAAAATCAAGAGGAGGTGCTGGAGAGATCGCTCAGCTGTCAAGAGCTATTTCCAGAAGATCAAGTTCAATTCCCAGCACCCATATCAGGTGGCTCACAGTTGACTACCTCCAGTTCCAGGGGATTCCCTCTGACTTCTGTGGTGACACATGCACTCAAGTATGCATACCTACCTACCTATCTACCCCCCCCCCACACACACACACAGAGAGAGAGAGAGAGAGAGAGAGAGAGTCTACCTATCTACCCCCCCCCACACACACACACACAGAGAGAGAGAGAGAGAGAGAGAGAGAGAGAGAGAGAGAGAGAGAGAGAGAGAGAGAGAGAGAGAGAGAGAGAGAGAGAGACTCAAAAATCTGCAAGGGAGAATCTTTCACTAAGTCCTAAACATCATGATGAAAAAGACAAGGCTGCTTGCTGCAAGTACTCAGGGAGCTCTTTACACCCAGAGACTAGCAAACCCCAGAGAGATAGAAACCTCAAGTACAGGGTAGGGTAGGGCAAAGGCTCTTACTGGGTGAACTAGTAGAAAACAGACTTCTGCCAACAACCAGGAGGTACCAGTATGCCTGTAACTTTGATCCACCCAACAATTTGGTTTTGGGCTCATACCATCACATTCCAGGCAAGTAGGAGAATATTCCTTGGGGATGACATGACAAGATGTATGGCACAGAAATGAGCTTGGAGGTAGTAGGTCAGGGTAGACTCACCAAAAACTAGAAACTGTTTATATGAATCACAAATGCTTGTACACAAAGCAGGGATAAAAAGTTTCAGAAACTGGAAGGGGGGAGGCAAACAGGCATGAAAGGGAAGTAGAGAGGTGCAGAGCAGGACCTGCACTGCCCAGCCCATAGTACCTTGCCTGAGAAATGGTTCAGCCAGTCTTCCCCATGGGTGCATCCCTGGTGAGACCACCTGTGGGCACTTGCATCACCTGAACCCCTCGGCTGCAGGAACTGATTCTTCCAATCTGGCTCCATACAAATGTTCCAGCTGGGGATCACAAGTGCCCTTGAAAACATAGTGCCCATGGCCACAGTTTCACTAAGTAACCTCAGGCACACTGGTCTTGGCCCTTAGCTGGACTAGACTCTCTTAGCAACAAGTGTCACACCTTGCCATTGTGTGTTACATCACAATGTTTGTGTTTTGCCAGGCAGGGAGTGACAGTCCCACTGTGATAACCTATCCCATGCACGCTCAGGATTGAAGAGGTATAGTCACCCATGATCATTCAGATAGAAAGAGAGGCCCACATACCATGCTCCCTTGGATCAATCAGAATGGTAAAGAGTTGCAGAGCAGGACCAGGCCCCAGTGGCACTTCACCCCAGGAACCCCAAACTTAGATGCTACTAAGACAACTTGCCCAGGGTAACCTTGATTTTACCCTTGTAATGAAGGCTCAAGAACCACAACTGCCCCCTCTCATCTCTGGAAGAGTAAAGTACCTGTGCCAAGCTGCTCAGCAGAAGGCTGGCAATGTCCCTCTAGGCAAGTCCATGCTCTGAAATTCAAATGTCTAACCCAACACTGATAAAGGATGCTTAGAAGCTGCTGCCTTCTCTGCTGGGTTGGAAAACACAAGAAACATCAGGCTTTCGGAGGATGATGCTTAATTACAACTCAGTAGGTAGCCACAAGATGGACTAAAAGGCTTTCTGACTTTGTGTTCAAGCCCTAGGCTCTCTTCCTTCTACCTTATCTCACAAGGGCAGCAGCACAGATCTGGCTCTGCCCCAAACATGTGATGTGGCCAGGCCTCTTCTCTGTATTTCTGGCCCTTGAGCTGGAAGGGAGCTGAGAACAGAGCACGTATGTGTCAAGTGTCCTAGAAGCTCACACTGCAGGTTGGGCTCCCTCACTGCCAGTGCTATTCTCTTAAGTTGCATGGCAGGACCTAAGTTGTTGTTGTTCTTTTTTTTTTTTTTTAAAGATTTATTTATCATGTACGCAGTGCATGCTGGAAGAGAGCACCAGATCACATTACAGATGGTTGTGAGCCACCATGTGGTTGATGGGAA